CTGAGGTCAGGGCCTCCCGCTGTGGGGGCCTCAGGCTGTGGGGGCCTGGGCTGTCCAGCCGCTCTCTTCGGGGGACCTGGGACCTGGAAGGGACACCAAACCCAGAATGCTAAGCCCACGTCAGGGGTCATTGTGCTTGGAACCTGATTGTGTCAGCCAGTGGAATTGTGGGTGATAGGGCCTTCCATACATTGATTCCAGAAGGTGCCAAGGCTTGAAGTGAACACTAAGATGATTCAGGACGAGCAGGTGTCCATTGTTTAAAAACAGGAACTGGCAACAGTGAGACAGGAATCAAGTCCAGAGGAGCTTTGTGACAACTTGGGCTTCTGTTCTGCTGGTGGTGGGGTCATTGGGGTCATTGGAGCAGTAGAGCAGGGGATGTGTCCCAGGTCTCATTTGACTCCTGTGACTGCAGCATGATGCACAGCATGGGTGTGAGGACGGGGGTAGGAAGACTGCCATGGAAGCTGCTGTGATGGCCTTGGTGAGGGTGATGGTGACAGGAGCACAGTGATGGTTGTGGATGTAGAAGAAGCAGTTGCCTTAGGGATCAGTGATTTAGGTGTGGCCACCGGGATTTTCTAATTTTGAAGTTTGGGAAACGAGGTAGGAATCAGATGATGTAAAGCTTTGGATTTAGCACCTGAAGGTATGAAAGTACCATTAACTGACATGGGGAAATTCATAGTGAGAACAGTCAGGTTCATGAAAAATTTAAAAACTTTCATCTTTTACCTATTATGGTATGAGATGTTTCAGAGACCAGTTCATGACCATCTGGAAGCCTGAGGAGTTGTTCAAGGTGAAGACACTTTAGAAAATAGTAAACACTATGGATGAGGGAGGAGTTGTAGATCACCTATTTTATTAGTTGGAGGTAGAAGAGTAATTCAAAAAGGAAAGACTGTGGCTGTTGCACATTTATTTCTTAAACACTCACCTTTAGGGTCAACAAGTGAGTCTAAAAGTCACGTGAATAAAAAATCTGACGAACAGAATAAACTGGTGAATATAATAGAATCAGGGGCATAGAAAGAGAGTGGCCTGACAATTCTCATTGGGAAGGAGGTGTGGGGGTGCAGGGGTGTGGGAAGAGACTGGACAAAAATCATACACCTACGGAAGAGTACTGCAGTGGGAATTAGGGTAGGAACCAGGTGGAAGGTAGCTATGGAAGAAAAGGGGGAACAACTGTAATAATCTGAACAATAAAGATTTATTTTAAAATAATAAGAGAACATCAATACTGGATACTTGCACTCCTATACCTTCCCAATCAACACACTGACCATGTGAGTCATCGCCTCAACCACAATGGTGAACACAGGAGCCAGGGATTTACCCAGGGTCACACTGACAAGTGGGCTCTCAGTTTGCTGCCTATGACATCTGAACAAACTCCTTTTTCTGAGGTTCACCTCTTTTAATCTTGCCAGTGACAGTTTAGGGCAACCTGGGGACAGTGTCCACCTGGATGAGGAGCCAGGGACCCATCCTGACTGATTTCCACTGTTATTTCCTAACAATCCCCTCTGCTCTCCTTGGCCCTGCACACCATCCCCCCATGAGGCTGGCACCATGTGATCCACTTACTGGGGCCCATCAAGTATGTCATGTACTGTGGCTGCATGAACCCTGATGTTGATTACAGCCTGTGATGTGGTTTGACCAATGAAATAATGTAGTAGCGAAGCCTGTCACCCTGTCAGAATAGTCTGGAAGATGTCTCTCTATGTCTGATAACACCTAGCAGGTATCTAAACCTTTATCCCCATACCAGGAGAAGGAGGGTGGACATGTGTTATGAAGAAGGAACATACCTTCTTTAGTGTAAGCCATTAAAGCTTTTGGGCTGTTCTTTACCCACAATAACATTTAGGCTGCCCTAATATGAATGCATCCCCACTTCTACCCTCTAGGAGGCAGCAGAGCCTAATATCAGAAGCCAGAGCTCTGTGGTTAGAGACACATGGGCTTGACTTCAAGCCATGCCTCTTATTAACTAAAATCAGGCGGTTTATTCTGAGACTCTGAGCCTGGATTCCCTCCCCATTTAATAGATGGTTACACCATTACAGGTGTGGAGAGGATTCAATGAAATAATGCATGTAAAGCATTGAATCCAAGGCCTGGCATATGTAGTAAATGTTCACAATATGTTTGTGAATGTTTATAGCTTCACAATGTGTATTGATCGCAAGTATTCTAATAATGTAGGAAATGTCAACTTGTTGGTCTATGTATTCTTTCAATTTTTATTTTAAAATGAATAGGTAGGATTATATATATATTATTTCATAGCCTGCTTTTTCTCTAAATAATGTGTTATTTTTATGTTAAAAAGAAATCTAGGCTGGAGTGGCTATGTTTGTTGACCAGAACATTTGCCAGTTAGGTCCCCCCACCCCTTTTTTTTTTAATTGATTTTTCACAGTGAGGAAGAGAGGGGGATAGAGAGCTAGAAACATCGATGAGAGAGAATCAGATCAGCTGCCTCTTGCACAGCCCCCACTGGGGACGTGCCCGCAACCAAGGTACATGCCCCTGCCCGGAATCGAACCCGGGACCTTTCAGTCCACAGGCCGACGCTCTATCCACTGAGCCAAACCGGCGCCAGTTAGGTTTTCCTTTGAGGGCACCAGCTAGGTTTATGGACACAATCCCCATTTGGGGGAATGGGAAGTCAGCCAATCTGTGTTTCTCTTTTTTTGTCCTCCTTCTCTCTCTCAAAATCAATTAAACATCTTTATTTATCCATCTATACTTGTCTAAGACTTTTTGCCTCATGAAGCATTCTGGGTTTTACAGAATTTGAAATGTGTGCAAATGAAAACATCAGTTGCAGACCACACTCCCCAGAAACCTGTCATCAAAATCTCAAGTTGTCCTTACCCAGCACCAATATTTGGAAAGGCCAGTGATTGTCTTGGATCCTAATTCCACTTGGGAGTCCTAGAAAAATACATTACCCAATGGGCATTGCACCTAAGAAAGGCTGTGTTTAGCCAATGAAAGCCCAAGATAGGCACATTATCCAGGTGTACTTGGTTGAGGGTGGGAGCACCAGGTCTCCAGCAAAATGAGGTGTCAGGCAGTGTCTGAACTCTGCAGGGTGTGTCTCAGGCTTTTAGCCAAAGCAGTCTGGTATTGAGGCCTCTGTACCTCCCAGACTCCTCTCTGCTTACAGAGTTCTATTCAGCCTCAGCTGTTTTAACCCTCCAGCCTTGGGTGTGGGTGACTCTCAGGTCGCAGCATCCAGAACTGTGAGTTGCTCATGAGTGACACGGTGTGATGGGGAAAGAGGGTAAGGGATTTGCAAGGCCGCAGTGCAAGGATGTGATGGTGTGACTGAGCAGAGAGGACTTGTTTTGTGTCTAAAGGCAACGAAGAAGATGAGGCAAAGTTTTGTCTGAGGTTTTTTATGTTGATTCTCAGGTAACTGAGGCCGTGGATGGTCATGAACAAAAGAGAGGCATTGTCTGAGATAGGGTTCTGAACTTTTCCCAAAAAATGTTCACCATAAAATATTCCACCATAGATGGATAGTACTTCATTCATTTGGAATTTGCCAAGCATTCTCTGTACCACACTCTGAGTGAAAACTAGGAAGGTAAGGAGATGACTCTGAGGGCTGTAGTGGAGGGAGTGCAGGTGTGAGAGAGGTGTGGTAGAAAGAGTGAGTATGGCCGAAACCTGTTTGGCTTAGTGGATTGAGTGTCAGCTTGGGACGGTAAGGTCGCAGGATCGATTCTGGTCAAAGGCATGTACCTTGGTTGTGGGCACATCACCAGTGGGGGGGGGGTGTGCAGGAGGCAGCTGCTTAATGTTTCTCATCGATGTTTCTAGCTCTCTATCCCTCTTTCTTCCTCTCTGTAAAAAAAAAATAAAAAAAAATGAGTGTGTTTGGAGAGTGAGTGTGAATTCATGGCTACAGCACACTGACACTGACATACAAGTGAATGAAGGGTAATCCACTTTATGGTGGTGTCTGCAAGATATTCTATGGGGGAATTTTAGGTTATCTATTGAAGGAGGGGATGTTGTCATGCTACATGCTAGGTCCAAATCTTAGATGCCATGTATGTAAACACTTGCCTGTTGGTGTTGAGGGCTGATACAGTGATCCATTAGAAAGAGATAGCATGTTTCAGAGTCACCTAGGTTTGAAAATCTCCACTGCCATGGGAAAGGAAAAGGGAGATACACATTACGGAGGTGGTGAACTTGAATTTTGGAAAAAAAGCTGATTCTGAAACAACTGATTCTCATCCTGGCATATTGGTGTTATCTTTGAAGTTCTGCCTCTGGGAATGAAGATAAGTGAGCGAAAGTGTGCTTCAAAGAATTATATGGAGCAGGTAGTGAAAAGTGATGGCCTTAGTACCCTGGATTGAGATTGGAAGGGTAAAGTGTGATGCCATGTTTTTTTATGTCTTAGAGGGACAGACCAGGGCACTGCCAGGGGAATGGCTTGTAAGACCAGTGTCAAACCACTCACACTCTCTTATGGCCCACAACTCTCCCTCCTTATGTTCATGAGAAGCTCTTATAGACCAGACCCAATGTGAGGCCCAGAGCACAGGTATCATCAATCAGCTTACCAGCCTCATTGTCGTGGGAAAGCACAGTATCTGCAGGAATGCAAAGAGAGACTGACTTGGAAGATTTGATATATTTTCAGATGTTGGGAGTAGAGGGGACTGATATATTGGGAGGATGATGACTCATCTATACAGTTGATCATGCTACAGCCATGAAGAATCCAATGAGACCTTGGTCACATGACTTGCCCTTACTGCTCAAAACCTCCCATTACGCCCATCATCTCCAGAGCACACTTCCAACATGTCACAGAGCTCCTCTATATAGATGGGATGGAGGCAGTAGAAGACTAGGATGGTATCCGCTCTGACAGTCTCGGTGAGTGTGATGGTAACTGGCCCATGATGGTGGCTGTGGTGGTGAAATAAGCTTTGGATTCTGGATGGGTGGTTTAGGTGTGGCCACCTGGATTTCTAATTTGGAGGTTGAGAGACAGGTAAGAGTCAGGGATGTGAGTGAGGGGTTATGGGGGGGTTGTGGGGAAAAGAACACATTATATAACATCTTAATCAACAAAGAAGTTACAAAAAAAAAGTTAGGGATGATGTGAAGGTTTGCATTTGGCAGTTGGAGTTATGGAAGGACCATCAGCTGATAGGTAGATATTCATATTAGGAAATGTAATGTTACTTGGAGATGCCAAAACTTCTATATTTTACCTATTAGGGTTTCCGATATTTCAGAGAGCAGTTCATGAGCATCTGGAACTCTGAGGAGCAGTTCAGAATAACAACTCTAAAATGTAGGTGGGAATATAAGGACCAGATTGGAGTTGTAGGTCATTTTCTTTCTTTTTAATTGGAGACCAAGGAGCAAGTCAAACAAGATGAGACTGCAGCTGTTGCATATTCACTTGTTAAACGCACACCAGGATTTTGATTGACCTTAGTCTGGGATGTTCTCATCAGTCTGGTTGATTTGCTGGGTGGCACTAGTGGGCATCTGTCAGACTCATTGGGAATGGGATGGGGGGGGCCTTAGGTGATAGGACTTGAGGGCCGAAAGCTGTGATTGGTGAAGGGACATCAGGTGCAGCTCCATTGGAGGTGTTTTCTGGATATCTGAGATCTGATGTGGCTATCAGTAATTGAGATTGAAGGGAAACACAATCAGTGAGGGAGGCCTCCATAGAAGAACTTAAGACTGCCTCAGTGAGTGTGAGCTCTCAGAGTTGGTGTAGGACTTAATCCTGTTTGAATTTTCCAAGCATTCACTACTCTACACAAGCTTAGTAATGAGTAGGAAGTCAAGTAAATCACCCTGGGTGCTGTGAGTGTGGGAGTGTAGGTGTGAGATGGGTGTAAGAGAAAGTGTGATATGCCCTTGGAGTAGTCAGGTGCCTTCATAGTTAAAGGGCCCTGACATTGACATTATAAGAAATGAAGTTTGAGTCCATTTCTATGATGTTTGGAAATATGATATGGTGAATTTCCGATTAATTCATGAAAAGGGGTGTGTTTTCTTGTGATACATTTCTGGTCCAGAGTTTCAGTGGAATTTATGTGCACACCTGCCTTTTGTTGTTGAGGGCTGTTACACTGATCAATAAGAATAAGATAGCATACATCTCTGTCTTCTAGACTCGAAACTTTGGCATGGAGATGGGAGAAGGGTAAGAGAGAAATACACTACAGAGGTGGTGGGGTAGAATTTTGGAAAAGAAGATGATTAGGAAATAAACTGTGGTCATTTTGGCACATTTGTGTTACTTTTGAAGTTGTGCCTCTGGGAATACAGCTGTGTGAGAGAAGTGTGGTTCAAAGCATTATGTGCAGCAGGTAGTGATGGCGTCAGCACCCTGGGATTAGGTTCAAAAGTTTGAACAATGATACCACAACCTTGTGATTCCCTGAATAGAGAGATGACAAGGTGATTGCCTGTCAAACACGGTGGCAAATCACTCACAGTATCCTTATGGACACCATCTCACCCTTCCCTATATTCATGACACCCACTGCATTGAAAAGGGGTGTGGTCTACATGTGAGTTTCAGAGAAGAGATCATTTACAAGATTATTTGCCCTTATTGTTGGGGGAATACGCGGCATCGCCTGGAACAAAAGGAGAGAATGACTTTGATTGGACTCTTTCTAATGTGGAGAGTTGCGGGAGCAGATTGATGTAGAGTTAGGGAGTATTATGAACATAAAATCCTAAAAGAGTAACTCATCATGGACTGAACTGTGCCCATTGTGACAGGAGATGAACTTTGAGGACGTGGCCATCACCTTCTCTGAGGAGGAGTGGGGGATCCTTGATGAGGCACAGAGAGTTCTGTACTGCAAGATGATGGTAGAAGCTTTTGCACTGGTCTCATCTGTAGGTAAGATCTCCACATCTCTCCCATTGTTCTGATGTGACGGCCTCCCCTCCTTTCTTTTCCGGATATAGCTTTCACAGCCAGACCATGGGCTGTAATTGTTTTCCCCATTGTCCTGTCAAATGTACTGTGGCTGAGAGTGCTGAGTAATTTGGAAAGATCTGAACAAAGGACTCCATGAATATACCTCACACCCATAGCTTCAGATAGGACAGGAAGTATCTGGGAGTCAGGATTGTTGCAAACAGCTTAATGGGCCCAAGCTTTCGCTTTCTCTTTCTGGGAGGGTGTCTATGTCCACATACATGGCTCCCACTTCTGCAGCATTCCTCCAGCTAAAGGCTCTTTGTGACTATCTGTGCCAGGTTATGGTCTGTACTTCCATGAGCCATGGGCAGTTCTTGAAAGTCCTCCTTCAATTGTTTGTAATTGAAAGTCCTCCTTCAATTGTCTGTTCCTTGAATACTATTGAATGCTGTCTTGCTCAGGTCAGTGCTGGCTACTCACCTCTGTTGTCTTTTAATAAAACACAGAATATTGTTTTATGGTTTTGTATAGTAAAAGGTGCAGGGACAACTGTTTTTTTCACAAGGTGAACAGACAGGATGACATAAGGGTTGCCTTGCCCTCCTGATTTGCAGCTGGGGGGAGGGATGACGTAAGGGTGGTGTTTAGATCCTACCGGGAACCTGCTCATGTCCAACAAGTTTAGGTTGAGGTGCCACTGGCAGCAGCTTTCTTCTACCTTTTTATTCTCCTGCTTGACACTTCCCTGACTTATCTTTTAATCTGTGGCTTCCTGGTTTCTGGCTACCTTCACCCTCTGGCTCTTTTCCATCACCTGTTCTTCTGAACTATTCTATCTGCAGTATTTTATTTTATTTTATTTTATTTTATTTTATTTTATTTTATTTTAAAAAATAAGTTGAATTGAAATTTTTTTACAGAGAGAAAGTTAGAGGGATGAAAAACATAGAAACATTAATCAGCTGCCTCATGCACACCCCGTACTGGGGATCTGCCCACAACCAAAGTTCATGCCCTTGACCCGAACTGAACCTGGAGCCCTTCTATCTGAAGGCCAATGCTGTATGCACTGAGCCACACCGGTTAGGGCTGCAGTATTTTCAAATATTGACATGGATATGTGTTACGAGGTGCCTAGAACTGAGTCACTAGACCCTGACACAAGATTCTGGTTTTTGAATTTCACAAGTTTTTGTGAAATAGGTGGTAGCCAACCTTCTGCACAGCTGGTATAAGCCACCAGCAGACAAGCCCTGTTTAACACTATTAGCAGAAAAATGAGCAGATGATCCAGCTTCTGTTTCATGTGTTGCTTGCCATGCTTGTTTCATATTTTGCATGAAGTCTTCCTTGTATGATAATCTTCAGACGCCGAGATCTTCAGAGCAGCATCTTGTCAATATTTCCTTCAGATATTTACTGTCAGACATTTGCATGCAACCAACTTGTTATGTGCAACACACTTTTGTAATGAGACTTCTCCCTGTAACCACAGTCGACATTCATTTCATCACCATTTTTCTGTTTTCAGGTTGTGGGCATAAAATGGATGATGCAGAGGTGTGTTCTGAGCAACATGTATCTGTAAAAGGGGAGTTGCAGGTTAGTGCTCCTAATTCATCTCTAGCAACAAAGAGGATGCGTCTCTGTGGGAGGTGTTTCTCTGTTTTTAAAGACATTCTGCACCTGACTGAGTCACAAGCAGCAGACTTTGAGCAGAAAGCCTTCTTCAGTGATGCATGTGTGAGAGACTTCTGTTTCAGTGCAAACCCTCCCCATCAACTGACGGAATGCAGTGGAGAGAAGCCCTGGAAAACAGCTGTGGACGGGACCTCATTTGTGACCAAGTGCAGCTTTTATTTACCAGCGCTGTCTTTAAACAATAAGGAAGTTGGGGATAACTTCCCAGCCATCTCAGAGCTTGTCCAGAACCAGGCATTTCTCAACACTGAGGAGCCACAGAGTCGTAGTGAGATTTCACAGGAATTTCTCAATAGAAAAAGGCAGTACCAATGGGATGAATGTGAAAAAGCTGCCAGCCAAAACCAGAACCAGGGCATCAGCACCAGAGAAGTGAAATATGAGTTTAATACATGTGAGAAAGTTTTCAGCTGTACATTTAACCACAATAAACCTAGGAGAGATCACACTGGAGAAAAGTCCTATGGGTGTACTGACTGTGGGAAGCTGTTCAATCTAAAGTCTTCCCTCACTAAACACTGCAGAATTCATACTGGAGAAAAACCGTACGAGTGTAGTGATTGTGGAATGTCCTTCAGCAGTACCTCTAATCTCATTAGGCACCACAGAGTTCACACTGGAGAAAAACCTTACAAATGTAGTGAATGTGGGAAATCGTTTAGGAGCAATTATGATGTCTTGACACATAAGAGAGTTCACACTGGAGAAAAACCATATGATTGTAGTGATTGCGGGAAGTCCTTCAGTAGGAGTTGTGCCCTCACTCTACACCAGAGAGTTCACACTGGAGAAAAACCTTATAAATGTAATGATTGTGAGAAGTCCTTTAGTAATAGTCATGCCTTAAATGTACACCAGAGAGTTCACACTGGAGAAAAACCTTATAAGTGTAGTGATTGTGACAAGTTCTTCAGTAATAGTTATGCCCTCAATGTACACCAGAGAGTTCACACTGGAGAAAAACCTTACAAGTGTAGTGATTGTGAGAAGTCCTTCAGTAATCGTTCTGCCCTCATTGTACACCAGAGAGGTCACACTGGAGAAAAACCTTATAAGTGTACTGATTGTGAGAAATCATTTAGTAATAGTCATTCCTTCATTGTACACAAGAGAGTTCACACTGGAGAAAAACCTTATAAGTGTAGTGATTGTGAGAAGACCTTCAGTAGGAGTTCTGTCCTCATTCTACACCAGAGAGTTCACACTGGAGAAAAACCTTATCGGTGTTATGATTGTGAGAAGTCCTTCAGTAGCAGGTCTACCCTCACTCTACACCAGAGAGTTCACACTGGAGAAAAACCTTATAAGTGTAGTTATTGTGAGAAATTTTTCAGTTACAGGTCTTCCCTCAGTGTACACAAGAGAGTTCACACTGGAGAAAAACCTTATAAATGTAGTGAATGTGGGAAATCATTCAGTCAAAGTTCCAATCTCATGGAACACCAGAAAATGCACACTGGAGAAAAGCTGTATGAGTGTAGTGACTGTGGTATGTCTTTCAGGAAAAAATGTACTCTCATTCAACACCACAGAGTTCACACTGGAAAAGGGCCTTCATGAGTGTATGGAATGTGGGAAATCTTTTCACTACAAATCTTTCCTCGTGCAACACTTGAGAGTACACACTGGAGAAAAGCTTTAAATGTCCAGGGAATATTTTACTTTCTCACTCAGAAGAACACAACCAGAGGAGAAGCTTTTACCCGCATTTACCTGAATGGAAACCTCTTTATCAGAACATGCACTCTGCTAGATGCCTGCTAAGTTTCAGGTATAAGTGACACTTCCAGAAGCCGGATTTATGTCATTGAAAAAATTTGTGTGGAAGCTCTTTCACTCCTACCTCCTGCCTCACCTGAAGAGTGTGCCTCAGTCACAACCCCTGCATGCTCTGGGATTGTACTTGAGAAAATTACGAATATTCTGAGCTCCTGGATGAATTGTCATTCCTTTATTTCTGACCAGAGAATTGGACCTGATCCAGGTTTTGTCCAGAGTCCACTTCCTCCACCAAGAAATGCTCTTTCAGGGACATTGCGGGTATCACAGTACGCTGTGATGAAGTGTTTTAGGTTCAGTTCATCCACATACAAACGTCTTGCTGTCCTCTGCTCTGGTTTATGATCTTTATGTAAAGGTGTTTTTAGTTTTGTACCTTTAATTTTGTTGGTTCTATTTTCCCCCTGGGATGATTAAAAGAAAAGTTGTGTTCTGTCAGCATGAAGGGGTACCATATACATATAAATATATATGCTCCAGCAATATGGTGTGATGTCAAACTTTCTGTGCTTTGGAAGGCACAGCTCGATGGCAGAAAATCACTCTTTGTTTAATATTGGCTGATTTTAAATTGTCAACCAAGGCCTTGATAGAAAGTGTGCCTGACTTTATGGTTGTAATGTGCTGTCTCCTGCCTCTTTTATTGTATAGGTCAATGGTCAAAGGCCGCCCTGAACAGCCAGCCTTTATTGTGCTCCTGTGAACAATATGAATTATATTCCCTTTTCGGCGTATGTATTACCTAAATATCAGCAATGTTTAGGGGAACTACTCTCCACGTGCTCCGAAAAGGCCATGTGTCACGATGTGTGAGATTTCATAGCCCGGTGTCATTGGTCGTAAGACTCTGAGGTGGAATTATTTTGGGACCCTAACACTATTTTCATGGTTAAGGCTGACACTGCAGTTAAACTGCATAAAACGTGCATCTTTCAACATAAATCCAAATTATTTCATGTCCTGTCGTTTGTATGATCTGTGAGAACGTTCTGAGGACCTCCATTACAATTTCCTGTAGTTGGCCTCAGTAGCAAACAAAATAATTTCATGGCTTTGGGCATTTCCTGGCCCCTTAAAAGTGTTCATCTCAAGGTTGTTGCCCAACAGGCAAGACCTCAAAGCTAGAGGAAGGATCACTCTGTAATCAGTCCCAGAATGTGTTTTTTGTAATTAGTCAGCAATAGTTGTCTCCCCTACTTGACCATATTTGCTGCCACTGAGCAAGACTGGTCTTCCTAGGGAATGAGAACTGAAATGCAACAAAGTGCCCCTTTCTTATGTGTGCTATTTGGTGAGCCCTGACCTAGAGATAAAGCTGTGAAACTGTCACATGTGACATAAACTGACCTGTAACTCCTACACAGGGTGGGGCAACAATGTGCTTACAGCTGTATGTTTGCAAAACACAGAGATGATTCTTTTTGAAAAAAATATTTTGGAAAATAATTTTGTTCATATTTTTGGTAGAGAAAGTAAGAGACTGGAAGAGAGAGGTAAAATAGGTCTGCTGCCTCCTGCACAGCACAACGGGAAATCCATTTAGTGTTGTTTACTGACCTGGAATCAAACCAGGGACCTGTCAGTGAATGGGATCACAACCAACCAACGGAAGACACTGGACAGGGCACAGTTTATTCCTATTTATTATTATTAATTAAAGTACCATTGACCATATCAATAACTCTATACCTTCTTTCTACTGTCCTTTTATCTCTCTGCCTTTTGGGTTTTCTTTGAACTCAAGGATTTTCCATTCTTTACAATTGGATAGTTCATAGTGTTCATAATTTCATACTATTTTATGTATATTTTAATAAATACTGGTTTCTTCCATCTCACACGATGATTTTGAGATTCAATACACATGCTTGTGTGAAGAGTTACTTTTTTTTTTATTGCTGAGTAGTATTGGATTTTGTGAATAAGCAGTTTATTCATTGATATATGGGTGTGGTTTTTTTTTGTTTGTTATTTAGAGGTTTGGGGTATTATACATAACTCTGCTAGGAATATTTGCATTCAGTTCTCTGTATAGACATATGGTTTACATATCACACTGTTGTGTAGATGAATGTTTTTTATTTAAGATAGGCAGAGCTGTGACCCAAAATGGTCATTTATTTTGGTATACCACTAACCCAGAATATATAAAAATTCCTAATTTTTTGCTTCTCTGCAAGGGCATACAATAGTTAACCTTTTAAAATAATAACCCCAGAAATGCAGGTAATATTAACTTGCTCTTGTTTTAATTCCATCTACACAGGAATATTTTATGGTGAACATTGTTATACATTTCTTTGCACTGTATTTATCTTCTGTGTTAAAATATCTGCTGTGAATCTTTTTTCAAATTGTTTAAATAAATTTATTATTTTAACTGAAGGAGGCCTGTCCCACTTAAATTTCCCTCATTCCTCAGTGACTCAAGTAATGCCTTTGCCAGGTGAAACCATTGGTTTTGAATCCTGAAGGAAAATTATTTTACTCATTTTTAATGCTATTAAGAACTGAGACAAAATTATACCATATACTTATAAATTTAATCTGCATTCTTAATTTCAGAGCCACTCTTATTCAAGTCTAAGCATTTTTAATACATTAAATGAAGTGTACGGTTACAGTATTTGTCAATTACCCTGGCATAAATACTCTTACCATGGTCAGTTTTAGACTGCCAGAGAAAACAGTGAATATGTACATGATAACATATTTCAGTAGTACATCCTTGTATTTTATTTCCAACATACTGATACAGTTGCAACAAATATGCCCCAGAACTTTCATAATAACACAGTAAATCTTCTTGAACCCTCATATTTTAAACCTTTTTAAAGTTTCATTTAATTACAATTCATGTAAATCACACATTCAAACAATATTTTGTATTGATTTTAGGGAGTATGGGAGAGTAGGAGAGAGATGAAAGAATAACTGATAGCCTTCTTCCTGTACTTCCCTTCTCCCTGGGAATTGAGCTTGAAACCCATGCATGTGCCCTGAGGATGAATAGATCCATTACCTCCTGGTTCATACCATGACTTCCTGGTTCATAGGTCGATGGTCAACCACTAAGTAACCCCATCTGGGATACAGTATTTGAAAAATAATTCTTTTATTTTTCTTTATTTTTTAGAACGTCCTTGTTCCTTTTTTTTTTTTTTTTTTTACTGATTTTTTAGAGAGGAAGGGAGAGAGATAGCTAGAAATGTCTGTGAGAGAGAAACATCCACCAGCCTCTGAGAGGGCAGGGCGTGGTGAGGGGTCTGGGGGTTGAGAGGGCAGGCAGGGTGAGAGGGCAGGGTGGGGCGGGTCCAGCTCCCGGTAACTGGACCCTAGGTCTAACCCAACCAATCAGGTCAGCCAAGGTTGCGGCACCACCCTCCCTATAAAACCCATTGATAGGTTAAGTTCTTTCTCTTTCTCCCCATGGCCTCGCTGGTGTAAGTGGTACTGAGCTCTGACTAATCCGATATAAATACAGGCTTTCTACAATTGCATCGGATTCGGCTCCCTGGTAGTCTTTGGGGTTTATGACACTTGGGCATTACAGCTGCCTCTTGCACCACCCCTACAGGGGATATGCCCAAAACCAAGTTACATGCCCTTGACCGGAATCGAACCCTTGACCTTTCAGTCCGCAGACCGACGCTCTACCACTGAGCCAAACCAGTTTCAGCTGAAAAATAATTCTTTTACTATCTGTATGTTTCATTGTTGATAGTATGACTGATGTCTGCCATTTCCCCCTTATATGTATTCTTCAGTGGGTCTGTCCGTGTGGACCAGGTAAGCAGACCTACAGCCCCATCACCTCCTCCAGCACCACTTGTGGGGCCTCCACACCTTTACGCCCCAGGTTCCTTGTGTGGGATGAGTCCTCTGGGATAGGAAAAACATTACCCAGAAGGCACTGCACCACAGTGAGAGGTAAAGAGCATTTGGTGCCTGCACATCCGGTTGGGGCGGGACTTCCTGCGCCCTCCTCCTGGCGGCCATTTTGGCCTGTTCCGCGTGTTCACAGACTCAGCGGCAGCGCTCAGGCGGCGAGTAGGAGTAGTCGACCCGCCGCACAGGGTGTCTGAGGCGGGGGACCCCCACCCGGGGGGACTGGGGTCCCCGTGCCCCGCCTTCCCCGCGGACAGAGCGCCCTCCGCGGCCCCAGCGGCCCTCCCGCAGCCCAGGCCGCCGCCCGGAGCAGTGAGTGCCCGTGGGGGCCGCAGGGGGCGGGCTGGGCCCGGGGGCCGCGGGCGGAGGGAGGGGCCGGCCTGTGTGTCTGAGGGACCGGAGGGCTTCCGGGAGGAGGCCTGTCCTCAGGGCCGGGCTGGCTGTGCGCACGGAGGGACGGAGCCCGAGGGGCGGCGGCCCCGGCCCCGGGGCTGGGCCGGGCCCCGAGCAGCCTGGGCCCCGGGTCCTGGCGGCGGAGCCGGGCCCTCAGCGCCTTCAGCTCCCACAGGCCCTGCGGTCAGAGCCGCTCAGGGGCCGGGCTGGGGGCTGAGGTCAGGGCCTCCCGCTGTGGGGGCCTCAGGCTGTGGGGGCCCGGGCTGTCCAGCCGCTCCTCCTCGGGGGAACCTTGGACTGGGGACCTGGGATGGGCACTAAGCCGAGCACCTTAACTATAGGGTAAGGGTCATATGAGTGGCACTTGATATGGGCAACCAGTGGCATTGTGGGTGATAGGCCCTTCCATGCATAGGTTCCATAATGTGCGAAGGCTTGAAGTGAAGACCAAGCCTTCTGGGTAATGTAGTTTTTCCTCTACTGCTCAAGGATGAGCAGGT